TATATATATATGTATACATACATATGTATATATATATATACATATATATACATATATTATATGTAGATAGGCAGATATACATAGACAGACACGCACACACGCACACACACACACGCACATATATATATATTTATACATATACATATAAAGTCATGTATGAATGGATATATATATATACATATACATATACGTACATAGCCAAGTATGAATGTATATTCATTTATATATACTTATGATCATATGCCGGCATGAAGCCAAACATATTTGCCTGTATGCGGATAGTTACACATGTAGGGGTTTAGCGCTGTATCTGATAGATCACAACATTCGTAATTTACGATACTGTTCGGCTGCCGCGCGTATACACGTGCCCTGCGGCGACTGACATCCGTTAATACCTTTTTCAATCACAATGCCAGAGCTTTGCCGTTGCGCGGAGTATCTCGACAGCCTATGGTGAGCTGATAGCTAAACAAATCCGAAACAGGTACACAGCAAGCAACATAATGGGCCGTGATTGGCACATGTCGGTTATCTGTGGTATCTTTACCTTTCAGAGGTTCTCGTGTGTCAAATAGAGCACTGTGGAGAATGTACAGTGTCAATTTGAGGTATCGTTAACTACAATGGCACATCTTTTGGTTCCGCGGTTGAACTACAAGTCTCTTGGGAATAGTGGTATCAGATAGAGATGTCTACTAGTACGCCGTTCCTGGCAGTATCGTCTCTATTGGATGTGTTCCCAGCATGATATTGCACTATACTTATCATTGCGATGTGATCGAGAATTACTTCAAGTGGGTCTATTTCATCAAGTATGGGGCTTGTTATTACTTTGAAAGCGAGTCTGACGGAAGACAGCGATACCTGCACCGCACTACAAAGTAATTTCACGCGGGAATTAACAATAAGATACTTTCTTTTCATACTTGACTACGCACTTGGCATCATTACACTGCCCGACCACATTCTGCCCAAAAACAAGAGCAGCATCACTCCGTACTTGTCAACCACCTTCAACTATAAGTGAAAACAGTGCACGGTAAAGTCCAATCACTATCTGTTCAGATTCAAACCCTGCATGCGCCACTCCCCCCTATTCCGTCTAAGTAGCACCGACGAGAACTTCAAGAGCAATTGCACTGCGCTGCTACAGTGTTCGGAGGGATCTGAGCAGCAGAGAGTATCTCGACTGTTCTGGGAGGTGCTGATGCTTAAAGATGCCACACTTCTACGAGGATGACACACATAAACGGCTCATGTATGCATGTTATCACACAAAGGGCTCATGTATGCATGTTATCACACACAAAGGGCTCATGTATTCATTTTATCACACACAAAGGGCTCATGCATGCATGTTATCACACACAAAGGGCTCATGTATGCATGTTATCACACACAAAGGGCTCATGTATGCATGTTATCACACACAAAGGGCTCATGTATGCATGTTATCGGTGATCGACGCGTACTTAAGCATATCATCCGGAGTGTATTTACGACTCTTCATAGTCATGGCTAACTGTATAGCTACTGCTTAACTATCTGAAAATGTTTTTCGAATATTAAAGTACAAATACATCCAGTGCCGACTTTGGCGGTTAGTCCCTACAACCATTTTCATTTCTGTGGAAGTCGCACTATATCCTGACCAGACGATACTTTGTGCGAATTCTACGGGATAGATCTAACGCTGCGTATACCCACTTTTGATTCAAAAATTATTAATTTGTGTCCTTTCAGCCCTTAGAATACCAAGTCACTTCCACAGCTACATCTCACAGACGGCAAAACAATGTGTTTCTATGGGCTTATTCGAGCGCTTCGAATATCCGCAGATACAGTGGATGAAAGCTCGATATGCGATTGTAGTTCCAAATATGAGATATTATGGAACGGGGAAGGATACAGCACAACTAACAGAGGCCATATGTGTGTGCCAGTGTAAAATGCTAAAAATAAGCTTTTTTTCGCATCTATGTGCAGTCCAATTCCTACGTCCATGGTAAATTCATACTAAACATGCTATCCACAGCACCTTGTTTGCTCATTGATGAAAATTACTCAGAAGTAAACATCGACCACCAATAAGTGCAGCAAACAACACACTCACATGCACGTGCCGTGTCAAGGCTGCACCCTGTATATTGAAGTACCCCTTTAAGAATATAATTAAATCAAAAAGTGCGGCCATCAAAGCTGCACCCTGTATATTGAAGTACCCCTTTAAAAATATAATTAAATCAAAAAGTGCGGCCATCAATGCTGCATGCGGACATATAGTACATATAGAAGGCCTAGGGGTTCGGGTGGAATAGGAAATTCCAAAGCCGAACACGGTTTGGCGATCGTTTTAATGATGTCAATACACAGAGAACACGATTCTATAGCGAAAACTAACTAATTACAGTATTTACTCTAGTTGCTTGAATATGTTCATATATGCATGTACTACTGATATATATATATGCATGTACTACTGATACATACATACAT